TAATGCACTGCCTTTTCCTCGTTGTATATGGTGTCATAACTGCATGGGCAGCTGCCATAACCACCTCATAAACCACCTCGTTCGCTTCGCTCACACGGTGGTTTATTCGGTGGTTATGGCAGCTGCTCATGCAGTTATGACACCATATACAACTCGGGGCAGTGCATTAACCCTTTATTATTCTATTATGTTTATTTTATTACTGTTGTGCAAATAAATAAACAAACAAACGTGACAGTCTTATCTTAAACAAAGAGGGCTAGCCTAGCATTTCTTCATAATTTGGGCCCCGTAGCAGCTTGTTTGGGAAATGCAGAGGCATTTGTTTGAACAAGGAGGTTATACAGTATAACCTCCTTGGTTTGAAAATATTTGAAGTAGGATAGCTCAAGAACCGGTTGACGGATTGTTGTTATTTTTGGTATCTCGGTAGCTTAAGTGATGCTTGGTGGGAGTGGGAGGTCTGTACGTTGCTGTAGTGGGCTTTTGGTGATTGTTGGTTAGTTTGTCAGTACAAATGTAGTTCAAGTTGTCGAAATGCAATCCTCTTTTTTCATTGTGGATAGGTCAAGGGGTTTAGATTGAGGGTTTCAAGTTTGGAGTCTCTAGTAGGTAGTGGGTAAGTGCAATTTGACATTTTGTGAGAACATTTGCTCCTTCTCGGTCGTTTTATGTAACGTTACTACAGATGTAGGTTAAAATAACAACTTACCGGCAGGGAGCTGACATTACCTATCAACAACTCGCATTAACCGCTGCTAATTGACACCTCGGTGTCCTCAGAGTGTGGCACATCTGGCGTTGGAGTATTTCCTCCAAAGTTGGCCTCAAAACATTCATGCATTTGTGTTATTTGTGCATACTGTATGTTACGGTGATTTGAACCACGTCACAAATTTTGTTTCTATCGGGCAAAGAGACTGTATACTGTGTGATCTAGTATGAAAAAATAACTTGGCATGACCTGAGTGAATGGGCAGGTTTGAAACTTTCTTGGGCCATCAGAAGAAAGGCATGTTAGCTGAGAACTCAATGCATAATCGGGCGTACGTTAGGAAAAACACTTTGGGTTGTCATTGTAGTAAGGAGTCTTCCTATGGGTCATGATCATGTGGAGGTGAAATTGAGAAGCCAACATTGGAAGGGTAAAATGTACACCATATGGGCTACCAAACAGTATCCCGGAACCAAACGGACATAGCCAAACAGTATCTAGTCTCCACCAGACTTCTTTTGCGGGCTGAATAAATCGTAGAAATCGGCCTAAAAAGGGTATTAATTGGCCAGAGAAGGTAGCCGGCCAGAGAGGGTCATTCTTGGGACGACAGGAGTTTATTTATAGTAGATGGTGTCCTGGGGAATAAAGAGAGCCTGTGTTCTTGAAAGCATTACACGCATGACACTGATGACTTTGTAATAGGGCATCAGGCATGTTTTACCAACTTCTGTGGGATTCCTTATCAACAGTTATATCCAAAAAGGCAGATTCACCACCACTTTGGCCAATTCCAGAAGAGTTCTGATGTTAAAATAAACAGGACATCTTTTCTAGCTATCCATGTGGGCATAAATCAATGTACTGCACAGAAGATGGGAAACAAAAGGTCAACTGCACTATGAATGACATATAGATAACTCTTAATTAATCAAATTAACCCTCAAACACCCGAACGGGGTCCATTTGGACCCCAGGCGTATATTTTTATGTGCTATTTGAACATTTTTGATTCAAAAAAAAATTCCTCTCGTGACTTTGTCGATAAACGTCTTCTTCAACTTCTCTTAAATGTTTTTTGGAGATCGGCACAATTTTGTAAGAATAACAACGGGAAGTCTGATGTAAGACGTCTGGGGTCCAAACGGACCCCAGCCATATTTCTCCTTTCCTACACACAAAATTGTTTGTCTATGTTCTCGAAATGTCTTTAAGGAAGCATTATTGCTTTCATATTATGCAGTTTGCCAAGTAACTTCGACCTCAGGAGTTATTTCATCAGGTTTTCAGAGGTTATGACATTTGACCATAATATGAGGTCAAAGGTCAACCCCATGTTCATGCCTGCAGGCCTCATCCTTTTTTTGCATAAATTATGATAATGAGTTGCAATATTTTGCACTTAATCATGCCAAAATATACCTCTTGGTATGTTTAACCAATATAATATTATGTACAAAGATCACTGAAAGAATGCAAAAAACTAATAACATTTGAAAGAAACAAAATGGGGTCCATTTGGACCCCGTTCGGTCATTACCGTCACAAAAAAAGTTCGGGTGTTTGAGGGTCAAGTTACAATTTACATAATGAATATCTCTACCTCTTGATTACATATGCCACCATTTAAATATGTTCTATCATGGAACGCAGCAAATATATAGACTTTTGTCATTAATTATGTAAATTAGATCGTGATTTGATAACTTTCCAACAAACTAGGTCAAGCATCACTTAAGCTACCGAGATACCAAAAATATCAAAGTCCCATGATGTAAAACACTGGAATTACAGAAATTCCTTATTAATTACGCAAATGAAGTCATCATTTGCATAATTTGAAAGTTTCCGCCAGAAACCTTCCTGCAGTTCCAGAACAAGCAGCTAGGGGGACCAAACCGACACCACTTATTACTGGCAGGAAAAGGTATCAGTCACCAAAAAGTCAAGACATAGCATGTCCATGACAAAAACCGGAAGTTTTGCTGCAGTACCAATGTCGGCCACCAGGAGGCCAATATTTGACCTTGACCTTTGTCTTCCAAAGACCAAATATCATCACAATCCATAAAGACATTCTGAAGTTATGCTGACTACAATGTTATGAACAACACAAAAGGTCAAATACAATGACATGGGAACATCCCACGAGGCCCATCTCCGAACTCGACCTCAGGAACTTCAATGGTAACTTGCCAACTATCAAACATGAACATCCGTTTAAAGATTCTCGACTTATCTTGTACACAAGACAAAACACAAGTAACAAAGGTCAACTGCAGTGACGTAGAAACCCCCACGGGCCCATCTTTGAACTTGACCTCGGCATTCTCAACGGTAACTTGCCCACTGAAAATCATGAACATCCATTTAAGGATACTCGAGATATCTTGTACACAAGGAAAAAACAAGGTCAACTACAGTCACGTAGGAACCCCCCACGAAACCCATTTTTGGCCTTGACAATGACCACCACAAAGACAACCTGCCTGCCAAAAATCGTGAATATCGGACCTTGCCTTCGAGAGTTATCGTGCATTATGTGCCAAACAGTGCAAAAGCGATTTTATACCCTTCTCCGAAGGCATAGCCTAGCCTTCGATCGAAGGTAAATATGAAGTAATATTGCGTTAAGGCGTTACCATCAACCTGAGCCGTCAACCTGAACCGTCACCCACGCCGTTAACCACAACGACAACGTAAACACGCGCCGTCGACCAACGCCGTCACCCCGCGCCGTCATATCGTGCCATCAACCTGCGCCGTCGACCGAACTAACCGTCATCCATAAACAAAAATTAAACTTTACCATGCAAATAATGCGCTAACATTTCAATTGGAAAACCTTCGATCCCGTGGAAAGATATCTCCTTCCCCGGAGGTAATTATAATATCAACACATATCAAAATATTCCAATGAAACTCATAACCTGCACATCTTTGTTGTCATCATCACAACACACAAAATAATATTCAACTTCCATTTAACCTACCACAAAACCGCTCGGTCAAAAACAACATGCACACCAAACGAAAATTATCATCAATATCTGCTTAGCCTACCACAAAATGTCAACCAAAAAATTATTACATTGTGCAACAACCTATGGGTTTAGGTTATTTCTTTGTGTCTAGTATAGAAGTTATGTGTGTAATATGTTTAACCTGAACCGTCACCCACGCCGTGAGCCACACCAAAAACACGCGCCGTCAACCAGCGCCACCTTTCCCGCGCCGAGATCCCGCGCCGTCCTATAATACCCGACCACAAGAACCGTCACCCACACAGTCACCCACGCCGTGAGCCACACCAAAAACACGCGCCGTCAACCAGCGCCACCTTTCCCGCTCCGAGATCCCGCGCCGTCATATAATAGCCGACCGCAAGAACAATCGGTAAAACACAAAATGACAACCAAATTGTAACATTGTGCAACAATAGAAAACAACGTTAACAATAATGACTCGATAAAAAATAAATAAATCAGTTCTGAACATTTTAAACATAAATCACCGATCTAAAATAACGTTAACTATCATCGTCACTTACTGCTACAGACTTCGCCAGAAAGACCCTAGCGTCTACCATTTAAACATAAATCACCAACAACCTTCCGGCGCCTGCAGTCGATCGGAAACAAAATTCATATCGGAACCAGACACCCCTCCGTTTTCTCATTTTTGAATGGTTAGACCCAAAACTGCACTCGCCCCAATCCTTAACAACATGGAAATTACCATTTTCAGCACGGCGGGGATGTCCGGAGCACTTAAACACCTTTTATTTCGACGCCCATAAACACATATGCAATTAAACAAAAACGTTCTGCATCATCTGCAGCCCAATAGCAATACGTACAACGAACCCCAGATAAATCCGTCCAGCCGATCGCGAGAAACAGCTGCTGACAGAAATTGTTCAAACGATTGTAAAACTTTTCCGCGGAAGGATATCTCCTTCCCCGGAGGTAATAATCAGGGCTAAAATAGCTGCAATTTACAAATAGAATAGTTGTCAGATTTTACATCTTTAGATAAAGACAAGAGGTTGAGGTTAAGCAGATCCTCTTGTCACACAATACTGTACCATTCCTTGTATTATAATTATCCATCACAGCTTGTCTTCATTACATGTCGTCACTTTTTTTTCGCAGGTGTTAATCTCGCCTTGGGGAAACCCACAGCACAGTCAAGTACGGGTAGTGGAGGGGCCGAACGGGCAGTGGACGGCAACACTCACGGGAATTATTATGTAGGGTCCTGCACTCACACTCACAACGAAAACATGCCCTGGTGGCGTGTAGACTTGGGCAGATCACTAGCCATCGGCAGCGTCGTCGTCTTCAACCGACAAGACTGCTGCCAGGAGAGACTGAACAACTTCCGGGTTCACGTCGGCGACTCTTCCAACGTGACGTCCAACCCACAATGCGGCGGGGACCACGCCGTGACATCAGGGCAACAGAGGATCACAGTGGACTGTGACGGTCTGAGGGGCCGATATGTCGGCATCTCACTCCCCAGAACGGATATTCTCACCCTATGTGAGGTACAGGTCTATGGAGGTACGTGTCTCCACATATTATTGTGCCACATTTATGTCCGTATACGAAACAAAACACACATACAAAAGTGGAAAAAAGCCTGACGCGTATTAGACAAACAAGGAAAGTCTTATTTTTTTCCCATACGCAACAGTTCCTTTCGCATAGCGCACAACTTAATTGCGCGGGAATATGTGACATGTAATGTACATACTAGTACTAGTAATTTGTTGACTCGGAATCTGTCCAAAAACCGATTCCTAGAATATAGCTAGTGAGCATGAATTCGGAAGAAAGAAACGTCCATAACTCGTATTCATGGAAAAACATTAAACTTTCATCTGTCCGGACACGTGCCGAAACAATCCCTGACTTATGATATTTTACGATATACTAAATATCAAAATTTCGCATAGAATGTTCCAGAAATGTGGCATATCATTCTACGTGTCAACTCCTAATTTGCCCAAAATTCATACCTGGAATATATCAACCTTGGATATCTCCGAGATATGAAACGTATCATGTATCCGGAAACAAGAAACGCCGCTGACACGTATCTGTAAAAATATAAAAGTTGTACATGTCCGGATACGCAACAAAGCAATTCTTGACTTAGGATATTTCTGGATATGTTAAGTATCAAACCTCTTTTCCGGACACAATATGCAACATGTCCAGGAAAAATTTGAACTTCGAATTTGTCCGGAAATCACCCCATTTTGCACAGTGTTCATTTCTGGAATATGTTAACCTTGGATATGCCAGAAATATGAGACGTATCATGTATTCGGTAGCAGGAAACGCCAATGATACGAATCTGTAAAAATATGAATGTCGTATATGTCCGGACAAGCAACAAAACAATTCCTGACTTAGGATATTTCTGGATACGTTAAGTATCGAACCTCTTTTCCGGACGGACACAGTCCCAATATGCAACATGTCTAGGAATATTTGAACTTCGAATATGTCCGGAAATTACCCCCATTCGCACAGTGATGGTCTACAAATATTTTATACATATAGTTCCACGAGAGCTGGAGCAAGATCCGTCATGGGTTGTGGGCTCCGCTGGCACACCGTATGTCAGCGGCGGAGTCACCTACGATGCCGCCAAAGTCTTCGATGGGGACAACGAGACCTACTGGAACCCACAAGGTACCTCGCGTTACCACAACAACTGGTACATCACACTGGACCTCACAGAGTCTAAAACTCTGATCGGCATCGCAGTCAACAACTTTGGAGACACCACACATGACATCGCAGTCTTCACGCTGCAAAAGTCGCTTTCTGCTAGCCCGTACATCTGGCAGGACGTCGTGACCGTTACTGGCGTGCAGGGAGGGACGAGCCAGCGCCAGGAGTTCTTCGGGTTCCAGGGAACAGCGCGGTACTGGAGGCTGCTGATCACGCAGACTCACTCGGGCTATCAGCCAACTCCTACAGAGCTGAACTTGTATGAACTCTTAGGTAAGAGAAACTAGCATACGTACTAGGTTCCTGGACGGCGCTTATTAACTTATTAAAAAAAGCTTCTTTTGTCCCATGAATACACAGATTGAAAATGTAGCAAACCGTCCAAGAGATGCTCCAAACAAAACAAATTACTGTTTCCAGGCGAATTTTGTAAGCCACTGGCTGTTTATTTGTTTGTTCCTTTAGTAGCATGCGGGCATTGAGTGACTAAAAAAACATATGCTTTCCAGCTACCGATACGGAATTGTCTGACTTGACCTTTTCCGAGATCGGGATAGACCAAATGACCCTGTCCTGGACGGCGTCTGCTGACCTGGATATAACACGATACGGACTCCGTTACCGCCATGCCGGGACTTCGTACCTGGACCTGTCTCCCCCGCCAGCACCGAACGACACCACGGTCACCGTACGCGGACTGTGGGCGGGTACAGAGTACAACTTCACCCTGACTGCGTTTGGAGAGAACGACGAGCAAATAGGAGAGATCAGTGGGACAGAGACGACAGGTAGGTCGGTGCAATAGCACAGATAGAGAGACGTTTACATGAACATATAGTAAGCTACCTGAGTATTGGTGGAGTGAGGCGTACATGTAGTTAGAAAGTCTACAGCTGCCTATATATCCTAATGAAATGGAATGCAGCAGAAAACACGCCTCACTGAGTTTCTGACATGGATGTGAGAACTGGTCATTGTGGATATAATAATAATATTGGCAGGCCCTCTATATCTGACTGGATTGACTGTGCCCTGTGGCTGTCAGGGACATCATATACTGACTGAGATACTTGCATGATTTTTTCAGCTGAAGTTATCGTGACCGTGGACTGTCGTCAGGACCACATGAGCGTGACCTTCCCTAGAGCAGCGCTTACAGGGGTAGATGTGGACACCATGCACCTGTTGAACGACACCTGCCGTGCGACATACACCGAGACCGAGGTGACTCTTGGGACAGGTCTACAGGAATGCGGGACGATCCAGGAAGTAAGTAGACAGCTGGAATGTAGGGAACTCACTCACTCCTCTTGCGCGATGTGCGTCGAGCCTGCCAGGCGAACCAGCTCTCTCCATTTTTGTCTGTTCTGGGAGATCTTCTGGGCGAGCCCCTGCGCTTCATCTGGGGTGCTGTTGCCCAGTGCCAGGTCTTTGGCCAGGACGTCCATCCAGCGGGTACGGGGGGCCCCCCGTGGTCTCTTCCACCCAGCGGACAGGATAAGTTCAGGATAGCCCGTGTACGGTGTAGGGTGGTCGGGAGGGAGTCGTAGGACGTGTCCGTACCAACGGACTCGGCGCAAAGTAGCTGCCACACGGGAGGCAGGAGGCGACAGCAGATGTCTCAGGAGGATCCTGGTGGTACGCTGTTTCGACCACATGTCCGGCTCCGACAATGTAAAGCGACGGTCACAACCCGCCGTACGTGCTTCTGCGTGCTGTCTACGTGCACAAACGTGGGCAAACGTAGGGCATCCGTGCGTGGTGAGTTCCGCCTCCGTACGGAATCCTACGGATTTGGAAGCACACAGACACGCCGTAGAACTTAAATTGCATGTAAAACTTTTCATGCGTGCGGTCTGCGGCGTCACCACCCGTATTTGCGAGTACGGGCGACGCGCGTGCCCCGTGCAGCCTATGAGCGTACAACGCACGTTTTCAGAAAAACGTAGCAGACGTGGCCTCCCAAAAAACCTACGGACAAAAAGCAGCACGGTGGGTTGTGACCAACATAACGCATAAGGAACACTCACGGGAAAAACAGAATGGATGAGGGGATCGGTATTACAATAAGTGCTGAGGTGGAGCATGTGACGATAAATACCGTCAAACTCCTGGAATATGAGAGAGGCTCTCTATTTGTTTGTAAGGTTATTTGCATCTCTCCTTGTTTTCATAGTCGTCAGGCGACAAACTGATCTTCAGTAACGAGGCCATCGGCAGTCCGGTAGTGCAAGATAACGGCGCTGTGAGAGGAACGCCCTTCAGCAAGAGTTTCCAGTGTGAGTTCGTGAGTCAGTTCGTGATCTCACAGGAACAGAACATCCTCTTCAACATTCCGCCTTCTAGGTAAGTGCTGTCACACGTGTGAGGCTACATGCACAACCGCGCATGAACTAGGGTGAGTCTTTCACAACCATGTATACTACAGGATCAGTTATTTCTTTTTTCACAACCAAAATGTCTCACCTTGCTGACGTTTCGGTGTCTATCAGACACCTTCTTCAGAGCTTCTGACTGGAGTACTGTATCTCGCCGCTATATGTAGCCGATGTAGGTGGCGCTTTTGCGACGAGAACACTGTCCCAAACGTGGCTTAGTTTATATCCCCCCTCGTCCCGGTTTATCACAGGGACTGACTTTCTGATCCAGACTGCCTCCTTGATCCAGCATGTTCTTCTATTGTCCTCTCTGTCTATGACTTTGGCCCCCTCCCCCTCATGTATACTACAGTGTGAGGAAGGGAAGCTCGGCTTAAAAAAACTCAAGGCATCGCTTAAACTACATATTGAGACCGGTCGACATAGCCGCACTCCTCTGGAACAACGTATTTGTCGATACTGCAATTTAGATAGAATAGAAGATGAACTTCATTTTGTAGTAGAATGTAGTTTGTACAACAGTGCGAGAATTGAACTTTATACACTGATAACATCGATGTTTCCCCACTTTACACACCAAAGTAATACAGACAAATTCAGATTTTAATGAACTTAGAGAAACGTTAACCCCCGATCTTTAAACTTGTATGTTCTTATCTTTTCAACATTTCACCAAGGAGTTTTGATTTCACAGAGAAGCGAGGAGAAGTCGAAATTATGTAACAGACTGTTTAAGTGCTAGTGCTAGATCGACCTTATTGTGTATACATACGTGTATTCAGGTTATTCCTTGGAACCTAACCCAATGGGTTTGTTTGTACAATTAAGGTCTTCATTCATTCATTCACCTTTTAACAGATAACCCAAAACAGACCCAGATTTCCTACGAGTACAGAATTTGTGGATCGAAACCCAGCTTCTGGATTCGTGTTTACGTTCCCTCGAAATATGCCATTAGCATGAGATGGTTAAATTTCCGCTATCAGCTTAGAGTTAGCGCACATACATTAGAAATAGAAAACGGTAGATACAAACAATTGTCTGTAAACGACAGAATAATTATGTAAATATTGTACAGGAAGTGCGGTGGAGGATGAAATGCACTTTATTTGTCACTGCCCCCATTATAGCACCAAAAGAGATTGATAACTTATTCGAAATGGTCACCAAAATGTTCCCTAGCTTTATTCACCTTTCCAGCCTACAAAAAACTGCATTCCTATTAACAATTTATACATCCCGCTAAATGTCGGCCATTTCATACTCCACTGCACTCTGAAAAGAAATCAAACCCAACAATAACTACAAATGTATATTTAAAGTAGCAAGAGCATTACTTATTATCATTTTTACTGTTTATTGTTGTTATCATGTTCTTGCCCTCGGGCATGAATTTGCAATAAACTTTCTGCTATCCGTCTAATCCCCACATGGTTCTCTATCTGTACAGATTGCAAGTTGTGAACGCGAAAAACCAGTTCACCTTCGAGATGCACATGTTTCCATCTGCGGACTTCGCTCGGACCTACACGTCAGCCGACTACCCAGTGCGGGTAAGCTTACTACTTACTTTTTTTCGTTCTTGCCGAGTGTAATGTCTATCAAACTGCAAGTCTTAAGCATGTACATACATTGCTTTGAATTATTTCTAGGGGCTGATCATGTGGTCATGTTTGTTTATTTGTTTGTTTAGTTTTTGGTTTAGGTTTTTTTATTCATGATGTAGTATGATTTGTATTAGCTGGGATTGTCATGCATATTGTGCTGTGGCACACCTTATGATTGGCTTTACATGAGCATCTTTATCTTGTCCTTCTATACCAAAGCAGTGCATCTATCATTCTTGTTTACAATTGGTTTATTGGTTAAAACTTTCCTTTAGCTGCCCACCCGAGGGTGACAGCTATTCTTCCAGGAGAGAGTATACACACAAACGTAACAAAAACATTAACATGTACCAAAGATGTGTATAACAATGGGCCAGTACATTGTTTCCATTTCTGTCCTATAGGTGCGATATTGTACAACGCCAGCAAAAGCGTGTCCCACGTGTATGGTACTGTTGCAATTTCAATGAATCAAATTAAATCAAATCTTTACTTCTTCTTGGTTAGGTGAGCTCGTCTGACCAACTACACTTTGGACTGAGCGTGAACTCTCCTCTGGACAACCTGGAGCTGTTCGCCCTCCACTGCCTCGCCACGCCAAGTACCGACCCTGACGACACTCCAAGCGTCAGCATCATTCAAGACGGGTACGTCACTCTTCTTCTTCCGTTGATGTCCATCGGCCGAATTGTCGGCCATTATTGACATATTTAACGGGTCAAAGGTCACCATTGGCACTGGAGGATGTTTAGTTAATGTTTGATACCAGTGAGTTTGACTGTATAACCTCCTTGGGTAGAGAGTTCCAGTCGCGTATTGTGCGAGGGAGAAATGAGTAGAACCGGTAGCTTGTACGATACAGGAGTTGTTTGTACTGTTGGTTGTGGCCTCTGCGGCGCCTTGTGTTGTTATTAGGCAGGAGGTTTAAGGCGTCGCAGCTTACACATGCTAGGCCGTGCGTGATCTTATACAGCATGGTAAGTCTGTTATTGCGGCGACGGTTCTGGAGGGTGGGCCACTAAAGCTGCTCCAACATAGCAGAGACACTGGACGTGTTTCTGTAACGATGGAGAACACTCTTCACGTGACTTACATAAAACGTATTGTCATCTGTAGCATTCATGGTCATTTCTCTCCTATATAGGTGCGACATCGACCAAACGCTTCAGCTGAACAATGCACTGTCTGGTGACATGGCCTTGTACTACTCCATCCAATCATTCACCTTCCCCAACGTTGTCGATCCCAGCCTGGTAAAATAGACAAACGTGTAAACTTTGGCATGGTGCTGGGCTGGGTTAACTGTCAGCTTAAAGTTGATTTCCTTGCTGTAAGGTGATGGTCTCGTAGACGTAAAGTTCGCTGTAAACGTGACCTCTAGCCCTCTGTCTCGGTCCTCCCACCTCATTCCGAAGCGTCAAGCCAGCAAACTAGCCTGCAACTAACCAGGACATAAGGCCAGAAATTATACTAGCCTGCAAACCTACCACCAAACTGCATTTAAAAGGGTTACGAGTGAGCGTTTGGCCTCCGAAACGTTGTGCACGCTTCCGTCTCTATTCTTCTAGGACTGGAGGTCTTTTATTATACTGGCATATTCATGGCTACTTCCTAGCGTCTGGGTCCCCTGAACAGCATGTCGGTGCACCAGATTCATGCAGATGTTGTTTTTTCTCCATGCCAGGTGTACATCCACTGCACCATGGTGGTCTGCTTCAAGGACGACCCGAACTCGCGGTGCAATGAGGGGTGCATGCCCTATAGGCGGCGCAGGCGCGCTGTGTCTGACATGAGCGAGGCCCGAGTGCGACGTGCGAGCGAAACCGACCAGATAGTCCGTCTCAGCCAGGGACCCTTCGAGGTCGTGGGAGAAGAAAAACAAGGTAGAGTTTGTGTATTATACTGAACTATCCGCTTCATCCCTTGCTAAAACTAAAGACCATGACTCTTTCTTTCCATCTGGGTCTGTCCTTAGTCTCCACCAGACTTCTTTTGCAGGTTGAATAAATCGTAGAAATCGGCCTAAAAAGGGTATTAATTGGCGAGAGAAGGTAGCCGGCCAGAGAGGGTCCAATTGGCCCGCCAGAATACTTCGTACCTATTCAAAACCCATTTTGTGTAATCTCCAAGCAGATCTTTTGGTGGGGGTAAGACAGTATCAAATTGGCCAGTCTGTGGGGAAATGGATACAGACTGGCCAATTTGATACTGTCTTACCCCCACCAAAAGATCTGCTTGGAGATTATTTTGTGGACTTCAAAGACGATAGCGACATCTCACAGACTTCTTGTAGGCCAATTTGATCGTCGATGGTCGGAAACCTTCTCTTGCCAATTAATACCCTTTAAGGCCGATTTCTACGATTTATTCAACCTGCACAAGAAGTCTGGTGAAGACTAGTCTGTCCTTGAAAACATTGTGTATCATGAAGGAGACAGATAGTTAACTCTCATGGACGTCAACAAATCGGGTCTTCTGTGTCACAACAACATATCTTACCCATAATTGATTTTAGCGATATGCTGTCCACTACTTTATAGTCAGGGCCGTAGACAGTATGAACATGACGTTTCTATGTCGTTCGTCGTATGTCGAACAGGTCAACCAAAGCTCTCTAAGCTAGTTCAAAGAGCAAAGCTGAGATGGCTAGGGCACATATCTAGGAAACATCGACTGAAGGCTGGAAATACGTACTAGATGACATGTCATTGGCTGAGTCCAGGCACAACAGTCTTCCCTCCACAATCCAAAGAGACATTGATAGCCTAGTTCACTGGACAGGGTCTAATCATATGGAACTTAATCCATCTAAGTGCAAAGTAATGGTAGTATGTTTTATGAGAGAACCACCCCCACCTCCACAGTTGTCTGTGGGGCCGTCTGTATTGGAAGTTGTCCATGTTGCGAAAGTACTAGGTGTAACACTTCAATCTGATCTCAAGTGGTCCGCCCATGTAAACTCCATGGTGAGCAAAGCCAACCGTAGACTTTACCTGGTGCGAGTGCTAAAGAAGTATGGACTTGGTGATAATGACCTGATTCTAGTTTTCTGCGGTTTTGTAAGACCACTACTAGAGTACGCTTGCCCCGTGTGGCACCCAGGCATCACCTCTGTTCAGTCTAGACACATAGAGTCTGTGCAAAGGCGAGCATGTAGAATTGTATTGGGTAAGAACTACGTCAACTATGATGCAGCCCTAGGCCAGCTGTCCCTTACCTCTCTGTACCAGAGACGAGTCCTACTCTGTAAGAAGTTTGCAGTGTCTTTATCAAGATCCCCTACTTTCTCCAGTTGGTTACCGCCTACACGTGCAATTGTACATGGCAGAGAACTCGATCAGGTCCAAAAATCAAATCAGTCAATTTAGCTGCAGAACATCGAGATTTAAGAACAGTACTTTACCTTTCATTTTAAGTTACTAAATGATAGTTGACATGTTCATTGTGTAAGTCATGGTTGTATTGAATCGTTATAGCTGATTTTATATTGTTTAACATTGTTGTATTGAATCGTTATAGCTGATTTTATATTGTTTAAATGTAAACAATAACCACAATTCAGCCGAAGGGCTGCTATGGTATTGTATTTGTATTTGTATTTGTGTGGAAATAAATAAACCAGTCATATATAGAATGCCAAGACAAAGACTGCCAAAAGTGGTGTTAACGTGGTGTCCACAAGGAAAAAGGAAGAGGGGTGGGCAAAGTATGACGTGGAGGAAAACAGTGGAAAGAGACCTTGCAGTGATGGGTTGCGTATGGGAGGGGGCGCAACGAGCCGCACAAGACAGGAACAGATGGAAGGCAATGATGGCACGCCTCAGCAGTGGCTGATCATGCGGTGGTGGAGATGATGATGATGATATGTCGTTCCACAGCCTCCGCCGTGCCCACTGTCGGCATCGCTGCCGGGACGGCTGCGGGGATAGCCGGCGTCCTCCTGATGGTTGCTGCTGTCTTCCTGGTGAGAAAGAGACGTGGCCGTGACGTCAAGGAGCAGGCTGAAGATCGTGTCGGTAAGATATCCAGGCACTGTACAGAATCTGTAAGTAGATACTGTCTGAAACAATCCCTATATTGTCCCCTGTGTTGGTGGCGGCATTAATAACATAAGTTGAAAAAAAAACTTGAGTGTGCCGTCATCACGTCTAGTGATTAGATGCTGGAATATAAAAAAAAACAACCCCTATTCATCCAGCAAGTCAGTAGAAGAGCTAGTGAAGACGCACCATGCGTAGTTTTTAATCCTAGAGTTGACCTCGGCTGTCTGCATAATGTCATTCAGTAACGGAGTTTAAACTCAGCAGATCCACTGATCAAATGGTAACAACTTCATAGTATAAGGTATGAACATAAATGTGTTCCTTACACAGTTCGGTCTCTAATTGGACACGGTTTTTCATTTCAGGTTTTGACAACTACTCGTTCGAACTCTGGGGAAAGGGCAAGGCTACCAACGCGACCCCCAAACCTGAGTAGTCGTTTTCCGAGTCTCTCTTCTTCTTCTTTCTCTCTTTCTCTCTCTCTCTCCCTCTTTCCCTTCCCCACCCTCTCCTCCCTCTGCTCCCTCCCTCCCTCCATTCACAATCTACAGAACCTATCCTTTATTCTTTAGCTCTCTTTGAGCGTTATTATATACACATAAGCATATATAATCATGGTGATATTAAAGCTGGCAACCCGAAGGGAAGAATCAATTGATAAAACTGATTTTGTTTGCAATATAAGAAGACCAAATTGTTTAAAATTCGACAGCACAGAGCACAGCAAATCAACTTCATCACAGAACTTAAGAAACAAACATAAAGCCAGAAATTGGGCAAAGTTTGGAATTCTCAAAGAACCAAATATATAAATGGCCATTTGTGATTTAATATGACTGTGATGTTCTAATATTCGGCACCAAAAGACAAAATAAAGTTTCGACACAAACACTTAGAAAACGTCAGCAAAACAATGCTGGTTCAGGGAGCTTCGTGGTACCATCACTGTCCCCACAGTGTGGCAAACATGGCGGCCGACATGTCCAACCTGTTAGAGATCAAACATCACAGCTCTGTGGCCACGTAACAGCTTTGTGGAAGACATTTTGAAAGGCTTATCAAGTAATTGAGTTCAACATGGTAGCCGTTATATTTGCAATAGACAACCGCCAGATGCAGCAAAGGAGATCAAAATTCAAAAGATTGGAACTAAACAAATTGTTGTGAGGCTGGTTGTCAAACATTGTGGTATAAAAAGATATTAAATGCCTTTAATTAAGATATATGCTAATTGCTAGCAAGCTTATAGGTTAATTGACCTTAACTTTGCTATCTTCTACTTAAAGGTAAGCGGGATTCTGTTCTATTCTAAGGCTATATCTGTAGACTTCTGGTGTATCTTACTGTTAATGTACTAGTATAATAATGTTTAAATTTCTGTGGCATTTTAATGAGATATTGCTTCCATAGTTTATAAGAAGCGTTGCTAGTCGACAAGAAGCCATGATGTTAAAATGGCTGCACTTTAGTGAGATGCAAACATTTCCTGTAGAGTGAGACTGCCTAAAGTTGTAACCAACAATGCGCAGGCGTTGTGGTTGTAAAGAAACTATAATCTAGGATGTATCTGTTAGGTATTGTGAGATATCTACAGCTATCTCCACGTGAAGGTAAATTAGAGCTACTATCATTTACTAACCAGGAGAAGTAATACCTCTGTTATTATATAATCGGGTACGTGCATTTTGCTTTTAATAATAGATCTGCAGTTTTGGTACCAAATATACGTGTTTGTCATGTGTGTGTCTTTAATGGGGTCACTCTTACTTCGAAGAACGATTATTTCCAGGTCAAGGGTGATGTAGATTCACAAATAATACAACAGTTGGATAGCTATTCCCTACATTAGTAGTAAGGATTTTTAATCGTATAATGCAAACTGTTGATTTTCAAGATAAAAAGAAGTGCTCCACATTCCAATCTGGAGCAGGAAAGCTTGAAATACCTACAAAAACACTTGAGAATACAAATATACTGTCAATATGGAATGGCTCTGTACAGTTAACCCACTAAATCCCAACAGCCAATCAGCAAGAAGAATAGAGGAAAGCTGCATGCCTATTGTTTGATGCCCTGCATTCCATTGTGATGACTCATACCAAAACGTGGTAAACACTGCACACTAACACAGCAATACATTTGCTATAACACAGTGAAAAAGCTCAAATAAAACCATTCTAAAAGCCTTTACCACACAAATTAAAAAAACACCTGGGGGTATTTGTCCACTGTACCTCCATACCGAATTCCAGGTCCTTAGGCCCCAAAATGAAGAAGTTGAATCCATTTAAAGAAATGGCAGGAGAAGAAGAAGAATCATCAGCAAAACAATATGGTTTCATTCGTGGTTTGGGAAGCCATAATTATGTTAGAGTACAGAAGAAAACGCTAAACCCATAGCTAAATTATCTACTCAAATGCAGAGTACAATTTCCTCAACTTATCCATGTGTTTTGATACTTCCCCTCTTCTTCTTGCAATATTAATCTTCAAATCGCATGAATATATTTGACAAAAGATACAAATTTCGACAATTTTGCCATTCCCTGGCAATTTTTGAAAATGTGCATTTTTCCTAACAGCATGATTAAATTGGAAATGGCAGAGCATTGATCATTCAGATCCCCAAACACTATGTTGAATCCATTTAGTTGCAGATTCGTTTGTCCTGGAACCAGTCATGAACAGATTCCCAAATATACATGACTTAAGAGCAGTTCCAAAAGATGTGTTTCTTCCTCCTCGCCGCACAAAGAGAATTTGGCGAGTTTTTAATGTTCCAGAGATACAATTTCTTGTTTGTGGCTAAGAATTTATGAAGTAATTTAAATTGAAATATTCTGGTTTGGGTATCCATTACAAGTCTGTATGGTAAAATAAACACTTCTTTCCATGGTATGACTTCATTGAAATCATCTTCCCATTATGACATGATTTTAACTGGATTTGTTATAAAGGGCTTCAAGAAATGATTATACATCTTTTTAGATTTGTTAATTTTACAACCTGTCAACCATTGGTAATTCTTTAAAATAGGCCTGCACACCTGCAAGTGCGCGCCTCTGCATTACGCCCTCATAGAACCATTGCGGGAGATCGCAAAAACTAACATATTATAAGAGTATTTGGAACAAACATATGTAAATTTCTTAGCAAACAAATCATAAGACAGGGGCTTCCCATTGATGCCTAGTACGTCCTCTCGGCAAACAAGACACCTCTGTCGAGGAGGTCTGTCCATACAAAGGGTTTTTTGCCGTCATTTTTAAAATTTCAGTTAAACCACAATATTTGCTGTTGATCGGATAGAGAATAATGATCGGGAGGGTTGAACTGAAAGTTAGTGCAAACACGATAACATTAAGAAATTCTCGTTGCAGAAAGGTTTTAACCTTCATATCATTATTATCTATTTGCATGAATGGGTATAGCCCTTTGCTAAATATAACATGTGTATTGGACAAAAGCTTAGAGCAGAACCAATTACATCAACTAGAGTACATTTGTACCACGATATCATATAGTAGTACTGGTAGTAGGAGTAATAGATAAATGAATAAATGAATAAATAGTTAGTAGTACATGTCGTAGTAATAGTGTTCCTTCGCCAAATGATGTTAACTTTTATTACTCATGGCAAATAAGATCCCCGGTGGCAAGAGTTATTTCGGGTGGTCATATTCCCCACCCAATGACAGTTCATCTTAACAAAGAAAACTATTTCCTTTCGAATTATGCAAATGATGTAAGATTTCAATAATTTGTGTTTGATGATGTTCACCTCCCACTAACTTCTAAATGAAACAAGTATGAAATTCCTGGCAGTTTCCAGTAATAACCACTAGTATTTTCTCATTTATCATGCAAATTAGGTCTTCATTCACACAATCAATATCTGTCCATGTTCGTCTCATTGCATACGTCAGTATTTGGAATAGTGCAATTATGGAACACAGCGGATTTATAGAATTTCACCAAATTAGATGCTGATGATAAGTCTTGGTACACATCACTGCACCCTCTTCAAAACACGCCTGCAAGTTTTGCCCGTTGGGAGAAGTATTGACTGTAAAAGAAATTAATTTAAAAAGGTTACGACACAAAAAACTATGCAAAATACATATAGACATTGAAAGTATACATACATACGTGACGTTTGTTTTATTCAAAATGACTGAGAAACTGAGTTTGTACGGCCTTCCAAAAGTACAGTTTTGGAGGGCGCTCTAGCAAGCTTCACAATCACCCGTCTCTGGCATCTCTCAATGCCCGCGTCAACCAGGTCTGTCATCCACGAAATGCATGTACCGGTTATGTCAACTACAATTCGGCCACGCCGATTTTATTTTATGGATAACATCCACGTGCGCATTGATTTTAGGCTGTTCTCAAAAAAAAAAAAGAAAAAAAAAGATCACGTCCCCGAGGCTCTGGCCTGTCTCTAGGCCTGGGTAGTCCATGGAAGGTAGCGACAATAGGGAGCCGGGCACCCAACCTACCGAAGCTCCACGATTCAAGAACTCATTCGAACAGTGCCGATTCAGACATTCCGCAAAAAGGCGGCTTGTCGTATACGTCACTATGTTCTGCGGCAAATTCACAATACTTGAGCTTTGTATTCCTGTGGTTTAGTAGAATTTTTATTTTTGGCCGAATTTTTTTTTATTCGCCCGCGCGCACTAGTTTTGGGGTCTTCAGAGGATGTCATCCATAAAATTAAGTCGGCGAGCCTTAGATAAAGACAAAAAAGACAAAATAGGTCGTGTGTTGATGTCATGAGCACTTAAACAGTGGAGCAAAAAACACAACTGAAAATACATTAAGAGAACAAATATTACCAGCTCCAGCTGTCCCTGGCTGTCGATACGACCGGTGGTTACCATTTCGCCACTTGCTTTCTTCGTCCGTGTCACAAGTCGGCCGTACTCGTCCAAGCTTACCACAGTCTGTGGGTGTAACATCAAAACAACGTGTGTTAGAGTCTGTGAAGTTTAGACATCTAGGTAATGAGATACGCCAAAAAACACAGTTTTACTCAAGCAACTGGATATGATTTTGGAAACGGTCAGACGTTTCAGGTAGCATCCACTACCTTTCGTCAGTGACACGACACTGCAGGAGAATTACAGATTTATAATATAATATAACTCACTAGTTTGTGCTTATAAACCTGCATTTCCCCTATGGTCTCTCAGTCACTGACGAAAGCTAGTGGATACTAGCTGAAATGTCTGACGTTTTCAAAATCATATCCAGTTGCTTGAGTAACTGCTTTTTGGCGTATCGTATTACCTGGATGTCTAACCTTCATCGACGTTTATAATAATTGTTTTATTGCAAATTCATGCCAGAGGGCTAATTGCAGGAACAGAAGAAACATGCATATGGTATAAGAAAAAACAGACAATTGGAACGCATAGAACTACTGATAACTACTAAGAAACTACTAGTAAAAACTTCTACTGAAAAACTACTGGGTTTGACGTCTTTTTTGAAGACAGAGGAAGACAAAGGATCCCACTTTTTCTGTAATTTGTGGCTTTTCGGATGTTAAGAGGAGAGTAGTTTTATTTTCATTTGTATATTGTGTGAAAGTTTGGGTAGAATTTGGAGGCTATGTCGAAGAGTTCATTTGAGTTCATTGCTATAGAGGATACAATTTGAGAAACAACGTGTGTCAGAATACATGTAGCATGAATATGAGATCCTCGTAACGTTATGCGTCATTTTATGAACATAACACAAACTAGAGTTCTCGACTTACAAAGAATGAAAGTTTATTACAAATACATGCCCGAGGGCTACTTGCAGTAAAAACAACATAAGAAAAAATACAATGGTATGTGAGACTATATCTGCGTCTAACATTATACTACAATCTACAACATACATGGTACTAGTTTTACTGGGGTTGACTTCTTCTTTTTAGGCAATGGACGACGAATTTACCCACTTCTTCTATAATGTATCTTTTGTCTTCACGTTTCTATATACGTTTTGTTATGTGTCTGTTAAGTTTTGACCTGTACCTAGCCCGTCGTGGCATGAATGTACAATAAAGGTCTTTCATCTTATAATATGTGGGTTCTTTGTAGAATGAATTTTAGTAAAATGAAAGAAAAAGGGTACAGAACCAAGCAGCAAGCTTATTCCGTATGAACAACTACAAACAGGGGTGCTAGTGTATTGTACATACATGTACATGTAACGGAGACTTGAAACCTACAGTGGGTGACGCATGGATTAGACTGACTAAAATGATATCCAGACTTTTATGAGGAAGGAACGACTACGAAACAAACAAAAGCATCTTTACCTCAAAGGTTCCCAAACCCCGCATGGAGATGTTCTGTGGTTGGCCAAGAGTTAGAGTCATGTCAACCGACGGCCTTTGCTGATTGGTGTACTGTCGGTAGGTTATTTGGTTCCCGTTGACGATGTACTCTTCTATAGGGCTGATTTTGAACAGCTTCACAAGCTTACGGATCCACCACGACAAACCTGTTAAATAAACAAACAAACAAACAAACAAACAAACAAATAGATAAATAATCAAAATAGAAATGGGAGATTCTGGACTTCCGAGAAGCATTTTGGGGCTTCGTGACCTTCAAATATACAAATATTTTCCTAAGTCTGACTTTCTGACCTCCAGTTATTCCAATTGTCAATCCATGTTACGTCAACCTACAGTCAACGCGGCTCTCCGAACTCGACTGTCAATCTGCCTGTCAACCTTCCCCACCCACGTGCTGTCAGCACACAGACACACAAACCCACACAGCAATCAATCAATCAAGCCGCAGGCATCAGAGTAACAGCTCAGCCACCCAAAACGACAGCTCAGCCACCCAACAGCTCAGCCACCCAAAACGACTCTTCCATACCCGGAAGTAAAATAGCACTGCTAATTAGGTCAACTCAACGTTTGTAGTTTTATATTTCATGATTGACTTGAGGCAAATGAAGCCAGACAAACTTACAGTATTCTACAGTTTAGATATATTTTATTAGATTTAACTAGATTTTATTAGATATTACTAGATTTAACTTGTCACTAAAGTACCCACGTCCGTATGTTCGAACTATCTGGGACTACCCCAAAGTTGATCATGAATTATTAGCTACTTTTTCGTCCAACACTGAGTGGAATGACATTTACTATTGTTCTAGCGTTGATGATGCATGTTACAAGCTAGTTGGTCTTATCCTCCTAGCTAAAAATAAGTGTGTTCCCCATAAGAACATTACTGTAAGACCGAGAGACAAACCTTGGATGTCTTCCAGGATTAGAACGTTAATGCGTCGGCGAGACAAGATTCACAGGAGAGCTAAAATGTTGAACAATGCTTCATTATGGACATTATATCGTAATGTCAGAAATAAAGTAGTACGTGAAATTTCTCTTGCTAAGTCGTCCTATAACAACCGTCTCGTCGACTCACTGACAACTTCTCCTTGTTCCAGTAAGAAATGGTGGCACATTGTTAAATCCTTTTACTGTAGTAAAGTGTGTTCTACTATTCCACCCTTAAAGTCTGGTCATACCTATGTAACCGACTCTAGGGAAAAGGCAATTATGTTTAACAAATATTTTTCTGACCAGTCCACTATAGATGACTCCAAGTCTAGCCTCCCTCGACTAGATTTTCTTACTGATGTCCGCTTCTCAGAATGTTTTACTACACCTGTGG